ATCTCCACTACTGGAATGAATTCCATTACAAAGCACAGAATTGATTGACTCTCGCACAACCAATTCACCACTACCAATCAAGGAAGCTCTCTTAACATAATCAGATTCTATCTATCATAGGTTAAAGCAGAAATCAAGAGAAGATGATCAGGCTTCAATTGACTCTATAAATCATGCCTCAATCGATTATAATCAAACAATATAGCATCCAAAACTTCATACAAGAAAGATCCTAACACATGGAACTAGGGTTCCTCAAAACCTAAGTGAAGGGAAGTTACTCCATAGAGAAGAGAGAGACTGCAGAAATCTGATCTTGATCTTCAATCTCCATCTCCAAGCTTGATTCCCGAGCTCCAATGGCGAAGAAATCCTCCAAAATAACTCCAAGAATGTTCCCAAGTCGCTCTCTCTCTAGGGTTCGTCCCTTGGCTGTTTGGGAACCAAAACCCAGCTCTCTCTCTCTCTCTCTCTCTCTCTCTCCTTTGGCTCGAATTTGGCTTAAACCCAGAATTTCCCGACTCACACGGCTAGGTCACACGGCCGTGTGGCTTACCCAGCTACCCGTGTGAGTGCCAAAATGCGGATTTTCGATTAATGGGCAACCAGGCAAGCTACACGGGCAGGGGCCACACGGCCGTGTGGCTCCCCAGGATGCCCGTGTGAGTGCTCGGTAAATCCTACATGGCCACATGGCCAGGTCCACGGCCGTGTGGGTTTTTAGGTGTGCCCATGTGGCTTGCTCAGCCTCTGTTTAGCTTCGTTTCTCCCTCGTCCGGACTCCGAATCAGTCGCCGTTTGATCCCAAACGCTCGTAGTCTCGTCCTCTTTCTTTTCATGACAAATTTCCATGATTATTTGTCCATAATATGAGGTAGAAGTCCATTATTCCTCAGGTCATGCTCGTGTTTCTTCTCCCGAATTGCCAAATGATCTCCGATTGACTTGAAACTTGCGCCTATGCTTCAATTCACATGCTAGGACCTGAAATGTGACAAAGGAACACAAACTAGCGTAAAATAGTCCAAGAAAGTAGAAACTCAAGCCAAAATGATCAAGAAACGAGGGTGCAAACATGTGCAAATCCGATGTTATCAAACTCCCCCACACTTAACCGTTTGCTTGTCCCCAAGCAAACCAAGTCAGACACAAGGTAACCTCACAATTTCAATCATACCAACATTGGGGACAAATCATATTGGCACAAAACATGGGAATCACACCGCCTTTCAAACATCAACACGTGAACAACTTCAACCGCAACCCGGACAACCACCACAGAGGACATTCGAGTGCAGCAAAATCGAGTAAAGGTGGAGTCTCCCTTCTGTTCATCAATCAACATAGACTTGACTCAACCACTTACTCAAGACAGTCACCTCATGCACAAAACTCAAGATATCAGAATAGAGACTGAGTAATCTAGGTCCTCACCGGGGTATAAGAGTATAGATAATATGAGAAAATGAATCGCTCACTCTCGACCAGTGGGGTCAGGACAATTTGATGCGAAAAATGCGCATGCTTATTCTCTTAATCCCTAACATCTCTTCACCATGATGGCAACCTCTAAATGCTAGAGTTCACATACGGGGTGTCACCACTAACTAATCCGGAGGTCTTAGACACAGGTTCAGATAACTGGCTAGGGTCTTGGACATGGGGTAAAGGCCTTTTAGGTGGTGGAAGTATTCGTTTCGTAGCACAAGGTTCCACATTTCCAAACCCAACACAATCACAGTCAATCAAACCACTTACTTTCTTTCTGCCATTCTACATTACTCAAATTCTTGCACACAAGCGAAGGGGGTCACATAAATATTAGTATTTCCAAGCCAAACTGCTAAGAAACACTACTTAATGGGCACTATTCAGATTTTTGGTAGCGGCTCTCTTTTGCTTTCATTTTTTTCTTTCATTTTTTTTTCATTTCTTAACAGAACCACCACCTTTGCACATTTTTCAAACATTCACCCGCCCAATTTTTAAGCACTACCTCCAACCCTCACATTAAACTTAGCAGAAACAGCAGAGAACATGTAAAAACCACTCTGTGGAACCTTCCAGAAGATGCAAAAGGGTGATTTTCCATTGTAGACCGAAAGAAAGGATAACACACGGCTCAAAGGGCTGACTAGGGGATATGACACATCAGGACAGTCAATTTGGTCGTGGGCTAATCCTATGCCTCCATCATCTTAGCTAATGACAACGTGAATGCTACACATCATGGAAGAGGGAACTATCGCACAAGAAAGAAACGAGCAGGCTCAAATCTCACATGGCTACCTATATGCTCTATCTCTCATTCTGATTCCCTGAACTAGATGCATAAAAGACTGTCAAGAACAAGTGATCAATCTAAGTCACAGTTGGTAAGCAAACAGTTGAAAAACCAAACCCCTACACAATTCTACTGCACGTCTCAGTCATCATTATAGGTTGTCCTAGTCACACCTCAGTTGTCATGCATTAAGTAAAAAACCATTCAATTCACCAATTAAAACCACAGTGCCAATATGATCAAGCAAACAACAGTACTTGGAGCCCTCAAATCTCAAATTTGGACAGTGGGCTAGGCTCCAAGCACACAAACAGCCAAACATTCACCCGCATACATAATCAAACACCCCCCACACATAAGCACGACATTGTCCTCAATGGAGGAAAGATAAGGAGGGTAGAATGAAGTTACTAGAGAAAGGATGAATGATGATAGACGGGTCAGGCGGTGCATTCCAGAAAGAGAGAGTAATCAGAACACAAACACCACACAAAATCTCACAAAGGTTCAGTTATTGACTCTAAAATCAAATAACAAAACTGACTCAACCGAGGAGAAATAGAGAAAGAAATGCAAACCGACTGGTTGGGTTGCCTCCCAACAAGCGCTTCTTTCACGTTGTGAGTCGGACGATGGCTCCTAAGTTTTGTTCCATGCTAGAACTTCCTTGAAGTTGAGGTTCTCGTCAATGAGGTGGAGTCGCAAGTCACGAGCATGAGGTATGTCTGGTGATGGAAGGTCGTGCACTTGATGCAGATGAAGTCTCCATCCTCGAGACCTCTTCTTCTCTTCTCTCGTCCCATTGCCCCAAACCAGATATGACAGCATCGATTGGCCACCATCGCGTCCACCAAGTGGGACCGATGTCGATGTGGCCTTGGTCTGGCCAAGAGACACTGCAAATGGGTCCTTGCTAAGCAGTTCCTCGAAGTTTGGTGGGGATATTACTTGTATTATAGGGTCGGTGCAAGCCTCTTCCACCTCAACTTCATCCTCAGCCTGGACACCACTCGCTTCTTCAACCCCCCTCCCTTCTTCAAAATGTGGTCTCTCTCCTCGGAAAAGATCAAGAACTACCTCTTCTTTGCTTTCTTCCTCATCCTGCACAACTTTTTTCCTCACCCTTTCTCTCTCTTCTTCTTCCATAACTGATTGGAGAGCAAGTCGCCATGCAAGGTTCTCAATAAGTTCAGCTTGCATCTCCTCGCTCGGGCCCAACATGTCAGACCAGAAATGGGGAAAGTTGTGATCTACCACCAGAGGATACACTTGATCATGATTATCATGAGAGCTTTTCTTGAAAACTTCTGTATGCTCCTCAACATCCTCATGATTGCCTTCTTCTTCCTCCATCTCTACTTGTATGGCAGCATAAAGGTTGTCTTGAGAAAACTGTGAACAGGCTTTCTCAATGACCTCTATGTGTTCCCTTATGCTCCGAAGGGTATCCTCGGTTTCACGGGGAAATGAGAAGTCAGTTTGGGCAATGGCTTGGATATGAGATCCATCTCGGGAAAGGATCTCTCAGGTACTCGAGCAATCTGCTCCACAAGAAGCCTCAAGTGATAGTTTGGATATGGCTGTGGAGTGTAGCATGGCTCTGCCGGATCGTCCGTGAAGGCTGTGGCAAACCCAAGATCTGATGGTCCTTCTTGTTGTGGGAGGAATTCTTCTTGATAAGGAGATTGTTCTAGAAATACCGAGGGGTCTGATTGTTCTTCGTAGTAGGGGGGTTGGTACTGAAACCCGACTCCATAGTCTTCTCCTCCTTGGTTACTCCAGGGAGTCTCGGGGTAATACCACTCGGATGGTGGTGGATACCCCCAATGGTTGGAGAAGCCATGAGGATCCATGATTCAGATCTGGACCAACAAAAACAAAAAACACCCAAGTGAAAACAAGGGTGGAAAAGAAAAGAAAAACGCTAAAGTAACAAACTTCTGCCTTTCCAAATAATCTAGAAAGTCCCCGGCAACGGCGCCAAAAAATTGACACGCTAAAACACAACACCTAACAATGGCCAAGTGTAACCAATGAAAGGGACTGCAGTATAGTGGCACAAGTAATAAATATCGAATCCACGGGTCTCTAGAGTTACTATTACTCAGCTTCAGTTCATTATCTAGCAAACTAGATTAAGGATTGATTTATAAACTACTCTACTGACTACTCTACTAATTACAAGTTGGGAACTCACTTAGGTATGATTCCCCCTAGCTCCTCAATTAGGTCCAAGTTGCAATTACTTTTGGTTGGTCTACTGTTGATTAAACTGCGGAAGATCCTAAATTAGCTTGGAATCTCTTAAGCTGACCAAGCCCTCTTAGACAGAATACCCGGCAGGCGACTAGACTTCACCGGGGTAGACTGCTAAGGCGATTCACACAGATCTCCACTACTGGAATGAATTCCATTACAAAGCACTGAATTGATTGACTCTCGCACAACCAATTCACCACTACCAATCAAGGAAGCTCTCTTAACCTAATCAGATTCTATCTATCATAGGTTAAAGTAGAAATCAAGAGAAGATGATCAGGCTTCAATTGACTCTATAAATCATGCCTCAATCGATTATAATCAAACAATATAGCATCCAAAACTTCATACAAGAAAGATCCTAACACATGGAACTAGGGTTCCTCAAAACCTAAGTGAAGGGAAGTTACTCCATAGAGAAGAGAGAGACTGCAGAAATCTGATCTTGATCTTCAATCTCCATCTCCAAGCTTGATTCCCGAGCTCCAATGGCGAAGAAATCCTCCAAAATAGCTCCAAGAATGTCCCAGAGTCGCTCTCTCTCTCTCTAGGGTTCGTCCCTTGGGTTTTTGGGAACCAAAACCCAGCTCTCTCTCCTTTGGCTCGAATTTGGCTTAAAACCCAGAATTTCCCGACTCACACGGCCAGGCCACACGGCCGTGTGGCTTACCCAGCTGCCCGTGTGAGTGCCAAAACGCGGAGTTTCGATTAATGGGCAACCAGGCAAGCTACACGGGCAGGGGCCACACGGCCGTGCGGCTCCCCAGGATGCCCGTGTGAGTGCTCGGTAAATCCAACATGGCCACATGGCCAGGTCCACGGCCGTGTGGGTTTTTAGGTGTGCCCGTGTGGCTTGCTCATCCTCTGTTTAATGCTTCGTTTCTCCCTCGTCCGGACTCCGAATCAGTCGCCGTTTGATCCTAGATGCTCGTAGTCTCAGCCTCTTTCTTTTTATGACAAAATTACATGATTATTTATCCATAATATGAGGTAGAAGTCCATTATTCCTCAGGTCATGCTCGTGTTTCTTCTCCCGAATTGCCAAATGATCTCCGATTGACTTGAAACTTGCGCCTATGCTTCAATTCACATGCTAGGACCTGAAATGTGACAAAGGAAGACAACCTAGCGTAAAATAGTCCAAGAATGCAGAAACTCAAGCCAAAATGATCAAGAAACGACAGTGCAAACATGTGCAAATCCGATGTTATCAGCAGTCATACTCATAATGACATGTATAATATGCTCTAGGATGTCAATCTTCGCTCCTGGAGACGCAATCTGGGCTTCGATCATGAGAAATCCACTCCAAAATGATCCTAGCGTTTGTTCTTACTCTCTCTCTCTAAAAATCTGTTATGCTCCAAAAAGTGGAATCCCCTTCCATTTGCTCAAATCTACCTATTTACCTAGATACTGGGAAAAATACGGGCAAGAGCACAGTCGTGCTTCCTCTTCTGGTCGTGCTTTGACTAGATCACGCATTTTACTTAAGTTGGGACAGGTAAATCCACGGTCGCGTTTGGGTAAAATAATGACATTATTTTGAGAAGCACCTGCGGTGCTTGGGTCTTCGCCTTCCCATGCTTTGATTTCCTTCAACATTCTTCCTGAGCCAGCCTCGTCATTAAAAGCATGGTCGAGTCGTTGGTGAAATACGGTTGTGGTTTAGGAAATCATGCCCCTATTTTGCACCTGGATCATCACCACGCCCGACAAAATGAACACCAGCGGCTATCATGTGAAGCATGGTCGCGCTTGAGGCAGGGGACGACAATTTTCTATCTCTAGAACTGCCAAATGATCTCCAAACGACCCGAAACTTGTGCCTAAGCCTTCTTCTATCGGCTAGTACCTGAAATGTGACAAAATAGCACAACCTAGCGTAAAATAAGCCAAGGAGCTACAAATTTGAGCCAAAACGGTTAAGAAACAAGGGTGCAAACATGTGCAAACACAACGCTATCAAATTCCACCCCACTTAACTATTTGCTTGTTCCCAAGTAAACCAAGTCAGATACAAGGTAAGCTGAAATCGTTATAATCATGCAAACTTGGGGACATATCATATATGCACAAAACACGTGAATCGTACTTGCCTTTAGACATCAAAACATGAACAAAAACAATAACAACCTAAAAAACCACCATAGATGACATTCGAGTGCAGCAAAATCATGTAAAGGAAGAGTCTCCCTTCCGTTCATCGACCAATATAGACTTGACTCAACCACTCACTAAAAGCAGTCACCTCATGCATCAAATTCAAGACATCAAAATCAAGACCGAACAATCTAGGTCCTCACCAGGGGTATATAATATGTGAAAAATTGAATCACTCACTCTCGACCAGTGGGATGAGGACAAAATTTGATGCAAGATGTATGCATACTCGTACTCTCAATCCCTAACGTCTCTTCACCATGGCGGTAGCCTCTAAATGCTAGAGTTCACATATAAGGTGTCACCACTAACTTGTCCGGAGGTCTTAGACACATGTTCTGATGATTGGCTAGGGTCTTGGACATGGGGAAAAGGCTTTTTAGGTGGTGGAAGAATTCATGACACAAGGTTCCACTGTTTTAAAAGCATCACAACAACATTCATTCAAACCATTTACTTTCTCTCTGCTATTCTGCATTAATCAAGTTCTTTAGAGCACAAGAGTGAAAGAGTCACAACATGTTAGTATTTCCAAGCCAGGCTGCTAAGAAACACTATTTAATGAGCATGATTCAGATTATCGTGGTGGCTCTCTTTTGCTTTCATTTATTTTTCTTTTGAATTTTTTAGAGAACTACCACTTTTGATACATTCTTTTTATCCTTGCACGTACATGCCCAACCTTTAGGAATTGCCTCCAACCCTCACTTTAGTTCTAGCAAAAAATAGCAGAAAACATGCAAAAACCACTCCGTGGAACCTCTAAGAGATGCATAAGGGTGATTTTTCTTGTAGACACAACTAAATAAAGTTACACTGCTCAAAGGGACTGACTAGGGGGTATGACACACCAGGACAATCAATTTGGTCGTGGGTTAATCCTATGTTTCCATCATCATAATAAGTGCAACGTGAATGCTACACATCATGGAAGTGGGATCTATCGTACAAGAAAGAAACGAGCAGACTCAAATCTCACATGGCTACCTATATGCTCTATCTCTCATTCTGATTCCCTAAACTAAATGTATAAACAACTGTAGAAAATGAGTGATCAATCCAAGTAGCAGTTGGTAAGCAAACAGTTGAAAAGCTGAACCCCTACACAACTCTACTACACGTCAAAGTCATCATTATAGGTTGTCTTAGTCACAAACAAGTTATATTGCATCAATGCTAACAACAAATTGATTCACCACATAAACCACAATGCCAATATGTCATGCAAACATCAGTACTTGGAGCCCTCAAATCTCGAGATTTGGAGAGTGGACTAGGCTCCAAGCACACAAAAACTTCCGATAAGCACAAAGCACCCCCAAACTTAAGATTGACATTTCCCTCAATGGAGTAGAGGAAAGGGGAATGATGTTACCGGGAAAGGAAGACCGAAGGCGACAACTAGAGAGTGGACCAGTCAGGAACAGGAGACTGGAAGGGGACCAGTCCAAAGGCATAGAGCTATAGTCATCAAAACATACTGGGTGGTAGAGAAAATAGACCATAGTTCCATTTGCACAATCCAAAAGAGAAACAAAAGAAAAGAAAAATCGACAAAAGAGTCTGAGTCTGAAAAGAAAGAAAAACACACAACCCAGAATCCCAGGGGGGATTGATCGGAGCCAACCTAGCAGTCATCGCCTCCATCGCCAATAGGAGGGGGGTAGTTATACTCATGCCCTAGGGAAGCCACCCAGGGGTACTGAACAACAACTGAGTTCATGCCAAGATAGTGCATCATGTAGTGCTGGCCGACATGATGCGGAGACAACCATCCCGCTCATGGTTGAGACGGCGATGAAGATCAGCCTGACCCATGACAATCAACGCATTCTAACGAGCGATGGCGGCCATTTGATCAGCAATCGAGTGGGAGGGGTCGGGCACCTCAAGGGCGGTTGTAGAAGTACTGGCCGGCACGTGAGCATGGCGGGACGGACGAAGAGGCCCATGTCGAGCTTTGGTATCACTTGCCTCAGGAAGGTCGGCCGCATCTAGGGCATGAGGGGGAGGGCGAGGAAGCCCTTTGATCCACGTCATGTCCCTATGGTTTTGGAGCAAGAGCTGGTATCGGAGAGTCTCCCAGTTGAAGGGTGTAGGTTCCTGGACCATAGTGAAGCCGGTCAGGTCGATCTCGTATTATCGAGACAGAGTAGTGATCACAGGACCACAAACAAGAGCACGACCGCATGCAATAGCTTTGGCGATTGTCCTAGCAATGACAGAAGCCTAGTGCTGATGTTCTTCCTCCTGGATCAACGAGAGTAGGAAAGATAGAGTGCAAAGCTGGAGGTGACTGGCGGAGCCCTTACTGGGTGCGTAGGACTTTCCCAACAACTAGTTGATAATGTGCCATTTAGGATGGAGGTGGGTAGCCTTGGTCTGGCCAGGTTGAAACACAGCGCCCGCGGCCTCCGGTAGGCATATCCACTCAAAAAAAAAATGCTAGTCCGAGAAGGGAGGAGTATCCGACAACTTGATGGCAAGGTAGCAAGCAACTGGAGGGAGAAGGTCCAGGGCCCAGGAAAAATTGTCATAACTGAGGGAGTGATCCTCCCCCGCCAAGGGTGAAGTGAATGGCTTTGGCGTGCTCTCCTGCTTGTCCCGGGTAGTGGTGGAAGGTGGAATAGAACTGACTCGCTATGACACAACTCCTAACAATGGCCAAGTGTAACCAATGGAAGGGACTGCAGTATAGTGGCTCAAGTAATAAATATTGAATCCACGGGTCTCTAGAGTTACTATTACTCAGCTTCAGTTCATTATCTAGCAAACCAGATTAAGATGAAAGAACTAAAACTACTCTAGCAAACTACAGTTAAAGTTAATCTAATTACAGGTTGGGAACTCACTTAGGTATGATTCCCCCTAGCCACTAGCCAGATTAATGATTGATGATCTCTAACATGTTTCACTTTCATTCACAATGCGGAGAATCCTTGACTAGACCTCGAGTCTCGACTAAAGGAATAAGGCCCTCTTGAGTCAATTGCCTAGAGAGACGTATCCTTCTCTAGAACAACCGATCAAGGCGTTCTGAACTAGACTCCCTCTATCAATAGAGGTTCTCAATTGATAAAAAGCAGTGAATCAACCTTCGACTAAAGCAATAAATCCAATATTATCAATCTATGGTGCTCTATTGACCTAATCAGGTATTCGCTCTCATAGGATCAAAGCAGAATCAATAATCTCGACTAAAGCAGAATTGAATCATGAAAACATGCATAGATTGAATATGAACTCAAGGTTATCAAGTCAGAGTACTCATAAAATCATCCAATCAAACAAACATAGCTAGGGTTCCTCAAAACCTAAGTGAAGGGAAGTTACTCCATATAGAAGAGAGAGACTGCAGTAAGAATCTTCAGATGATCAGCCTTCAAGTCCGGGCTTGTTCCTCGTGCTTCCAAGGAAAAGAAATCCTCCAATTCCACTCTTAGAATGCCCTCAAATCGCCCTCTCTCTCTTCGGTTCGTCCCTTGGGTGTCTGGGATCCAAAACCCAGCTCTCCCTTTCCTTTGGCTTCAATCTGCCTAAAAAACCCGATTCTAGGAAAAACACTATCGCAGACATAGCCGTGTTTTGCTTTTGCTCGCCCGTGTTTTGCCCCGTGTTAAAAACACGCCCGCGCGCGTCGGCCAAAACACGGTCGTGCCTAAATATGGGCACGGCCGTGTTTTGATTTAGGCGCGCCCGTGTTTTTCTGCCGAACATGTTCCCCTATATTCAATGCTTCGTTCTTCCTCGTCCGGACTCCGAATCAGTCGCCGTTTGATCCCAGACGCTCGTAGTCTCGTCCTCTTTCTTTTCATGACAAGCTTGCATGATTATTTGTCCATAAAGTGAGGTATAAATCCATTCTTCTTCAGGTCATGCCCGAGTTTCTTCTCCCTAATCGCCAATTGATCTTTGATTGACTTGAAACTTGCGCCTATGCTTCACTTTATGTGCTAGACCTGAAATGTGACAAAGGAACACAACCTAGCATAAAATAGGCCAAAGAAGCGATAATTAAAGCTCAAATGATCAAGAAACAAAGGGGAAAACATGTGCAAATATCCAGTCATCAAATCCCCCCACACTTAACTGTGTGCTTGTCCCCAAGCAAACCTAACTCAAACCAATGCAGCTCTCCAGACCTCTATTGCAACATACAACCCCGATCGTCGGTAGAGGATTTCCTAGATCATATAGCAGCTTACGAGGTCAACTGGTCTTCTAAGACGTTCCCTATCTCTCTCAATGCGAGTACTAGACTCAAGCCAGGATCATGAGAAGAAGTAGAAGTAAGACAGTCAGTTCAGGGATAAAGGGACTCACATCGTTCACAACCAAGGACTCGTTGTACCGGGGTGCTCTTTCACTTCATTTCATCGTTGGAACCCCTTTTGCACTTTCATTTTACTTTTTTTTCTTTTTCATTCACTCGGCGGGGGTTCCAACTGCAGTCTTTTGCACGGTCGACCCTTATTAGTCGAGCAAGAGCAATTTCTATACATCTGGCGCTCGCCAGAGTACTTCTTTTAACTCCTTTTCCTTAACTCGTGTGGAGGGTCAATGAAATTAAGGGGGGTCGGAAGCTCTATCCGTGCCCTTAAAAACACATCCTCAAGTAGGCAAACCGTTCAACGGGTGGAAGTTTTACTTGTACTAGAGACAACTTAGCTTCACCTTGTAGGAGTACCCCACTAAGGATCACTAAAATCTCTTCCAAAACCCGATTTTGTGCAATGAACGGTGCCGCACACGTTAGGCTTACCCCATGTTTAAGATTTTGATGATTTCGACATGGAGGACCAACTGCTTTTCATTTTTCACATGAGCACCTTGTTCGATACACGAGTCCATAGCACAATCCAAATAGAGTCACCATTACCACATGAATTCAACGGTCTTAGCTCCACTAATTCACAAAATCAACTGGCACAACAGAGAGCTAGATAGGAAAAATCTTATACTTCAACATCCCCCATAGTGCTACACTACCTCCCTAGGTTGCACATTACTATAGAGACTGTCAATTCAAAGCATACTGAGCAGGCAATTTGCAAGGAAACACGTACTTGGAGCCCTCAAATTTAAAAATTTGGACAGTGGACTAGGCTCCAAGCACACAAACAGCCAAACATTCACCTGCATACATAATCGAACATCCCCCCACACTTAAGCACGACATTGTCCTCAATGGAGGAAAGATAAGGAGGGTAGAATGAAGTTACCAGATCAAGGGTGAATGATGGTGGACGAGGCAGGCGGTGCATTCCAGGAGGAGAGAGTAGTCAGAACACAAACACCACACAAAATCTCACAAAGGTTGAGTTATTGACTCTAAAATCAAAGAACAAAACTGACTCAACCGAAGATAAATAGAGAAAGAAATGCAAACCGACTGGTTGGGTTGCCTCCCAACAAGCGCTTCTTTCACGTCAACCACAAAACCTCCTTGAATTTGAGGTTCTCGTCAATGAGGTGGAGTCTCAAGTCACGAGCATGTGGTATGACAGGTGATGGAAGCTCGTGCGCTTGATGAAGATGAAGTCTCCACCCTCGAGACCTCTTCTTCTCTTCGCTCGTCTCATTGCCCCAAACCAGATATGACAACTTCGATTGACCACCATCGCGTCCACCAAGAGGGACCGATGTCGACGTGGCCTTGGTCTGGCAAAGAGACACTGCAAATGGTCCTTGCCAAGCAGCTCCTCGAAATTTGGTGGAGATATCACAAGTAACTCATGACCGATGCAGGCCTCTTCCACCTTAACTCCGTCCTCAACCTGGACGCCAATAGCTTCTTCAACCTCCCTTTCTTCTTCATGTGGTATCACCCCTGGGAAATGATCAAGAACTCCTTCTGCTTCACTTTTGTCATCCTCCACAACTTCTTTCTACGCCCTTTCTTGCTCTTCTTCTTCTAGCACGGATTGGAGAGCAAGCTGCCAAGCAATTTCTTTCATGAGATCTTCTTGCATCTCCTCACTCATGCCCGCCTCTTCAAAGCTCAGTTTGGGATGTGGGAAGGTGTGGTCGGCTATGACAGGACATTCCTGATCATGATCATCACGGGAGCTCTCCGTGACAACTTTAGTGTGCTCCACAATGTCCTTGTAGCCTTCTTCTTCCTCCTCCTCTTCTAGTATGGTAGCAGAAGGGTGATCGGGAGCAGGTTGTGCACAAGATCGCTCAAGATCATCGACGCTCTTCTTAAGGCTCAGAAGGATCTCCTCTGTTTCACGATAGGCCTGGACACAATGATCCATCCTGGAGCATGTTCTCTCATTGTCTCGAGCAAATTGTTCCATGAGAAGCCTCAATTCATAGTTTGGATATGGCTGTGGAGTGTAGCATGGCTCTGCAGAATGGCCCGTGAAGGCCGCCATGGGTAACTCCAGCGCCGATGGCCCTTCTGGTTATGGGAGAAATTCTTCTTGGTAATGAGGTTGTTCTTGATATGCCCAGGGGTCCGGTTGTTCTCCGTAGTAAGGGGGTTGGTACTGGAACCCGAATCCATAGTCTTCTCCTCCTTGACTGCTCCAGGGAGTCTCGGGGTAATACCACTCGGGTGGTGGTGGATACCCCCAATTGTTGGAGAAGCCATGAGGATCCATGATTCAGATCTGCACCAACAAAAACAAAAACACCCAAGTGAAAAGCAAGGGTGGAAAAGAAAAGAAAAGAAAAACGCTAAAGTAACAAACTTCTACCTTTCCTAATACTCTAGAAAGCCCTCGGCAACGGCGGCAAAAACTTGACTCGCTATGACACAACTCCTAACAATGGCCAAGTGTAACCAATGGAAGGGACTGCAGTATAGTGGCTCAAGTAATAAATATCGAATCCACGGGTCTCTAGAGTTACTATTACTCAGCTTCAGTTCATTATCTAGCAAACCAGATTAAGATGAAAGAACTAAAACTACTCTAGCAAACTACAGTAAAAGTTAATCTAATTACAGGTTGGGAACTCACTTAGGTATGATTCCCCCTAGCCACTAGCCAGATTAATGATTGATGATCTCTAACCTGTTTCACTTTCATTCACAATGCGGAGAATCCTTGACTAGACCTTGAGTCTCGACTAAAGGAACAAGGCCCTCTTGAGTCAATTGCCTAGAGGGACGTATCCTTCTCTAGAACAACCGATCAAGGCGTTCTGAACTAGACTCCCTCTATCGAAAGAGGTTCTCAATTGATACAAAGCAGTGAATCAACCCTCGACTAAAGCAATCAATCCAATATTATCAATCTATGGTGCTCTATTGACCTAATCAGGTATTCGCTCTCATAGGATCAAAGCAGAATCAATAATCTCGACTAAAGCAGAATTGAATCATGAAAACATGCATAGATTGAATATGAACTCAAGGTTATCAAGTCAGAGTACTCATACAATCATCCAATCAAACAAACATAGCTAGGGTTCCTCAAAACCTAAGTGAAGGGAAGTTACTCCATAGAGAAGAGAGAGACTACAGTAAGAATCTTCAGATGATAAGTCTTCAAGTCCGGGCTTGTTCCTCGAGCTTCCAAGGCGAAGAAATCCTCCAATTTTACTCTTAGAATGCCCTCAAATCTCTCTCTCTCTCTCTTTGGTTCATCCCTTGGGTGTTTTGGATCCAAAACCTAGCTCTCCCTTTCCTTTGGCTTCAATCTGCCTAAAAAACCCGATTCTGGGCAAAACACTGTCGCGGACACGGCCATGTTTTGCTTTTTCCCGCCCGTGTTTTGCCCAGTGTTAAAAACACGCCTGCACGCGTCGGCCAAACCACGGTCGTGGCTAAATATGGGCACGGCCGTGTTTTGATTTAGGCGCGCCCGTGTTTTTACTGTCGAACCTGTTCCCCTATATTCAATGCTTCGTTTCTCCCTTGTCCGGACTCCGAATCAGTCGCCGTTTGATCCCAGAAGCTCGTAGTCTCGTCCTCTTTCTTTTCATGACAAGCTTGCGTGATTATTTTTCCATAAAGTGAGGTATAAATCCATTCTTCTTCAGGTCATGCCCGAGTTTCTTATCCCTAATCGCCAATTGATCTCTGATTGACTTGAAACTAGCGCCTATGCTTCACTTTAGGTGCTAGGACCTGAAATGAGAAAAGGAACACAAACTAGCGTAAAATATGCCAAAGAAGCGATAATTAAAGCTCAAACGATCAAGAAACAAAGGGGAAAACATGTGCAAATATCGAGTCGCCAATTGATCTCTGATTGACTTGAAACTTGCGCCTATGCTTCACTTTATGTGCTAGGACCTGAAATGTGACAAAGGAACACAAACTAGCGTAAAATAGGCCAAAGAAGCGATAATTAAAGCTCAAACGATCAAGAAACAAAGGGGAAAACATGTGCAAATATCAAGTCATCAAGAACTCTCAGACGAGCTTCTTGTACGTCGGCTCAGAGAGGAAGAGGAGGCGCCGCCAGGAATAGGTGCGAACAACAACCTCCATTGCCTCTAGAGCACCAAGCTCATCAAAGACCCCAAGGTCGAGGTGATGATTGACACGCCAAAACACAACACCTAACAATGGCCAAGTGTAACCAATGAAAGGGACTGCAGTATAGTGGCACAAGTAATAAATATCGAATCCACGGGTCTCTAGAGTTATTATTACTCAGCTTCAGTTCATTATCTAGCAAACTAGATTAAGGATTGATTTACTAAACTACTCTACTAACTACTCTACTAATTACAAGTTGGGAACTCACTTGGGTATGATTCCCCCTAGCTCCTCAATTAGGTCCAAGTTGCAAATACCTTTGGTTGATCTAGTGTTGATTAAACTGTGGAAAATCCTAAATTAGCTTGGAATCTCTTGAGCTGATCAGACCCTCTTAGACAGAATACCCGACAGGCGACTAGCCTTCACCGGGATAGACTGCTAAGGTGATTCACACAGATCTCCACTACTGGAATGAATTCCAGTACAAAGGAGTGAATTGATTGACTCTCGCACAAACAATTCACCACTATCAATCAAGAAAGCTCTCTTAACCTAATCATATTCTATCTATCATAGGTTAAAGAGAAATCAAGAGAATTTGATCAAGATTCAATTGACTCAATAAATCATGCCTTAATCGATTATAATCAAACAATATAGCATCCAAAACTTCATACAAGAAAGATCCTAACACATGGAACTAGGGTTCCTCAAAACCTAAGTGAAGGGAAGTTACTCCATAGAGAAGAGAGAGACTGCAGAAATCTGATCTAGATCTTCAATCTCCATCTCCAAGCTTGATTCTCGAGCTCCAATGGTGAAGAAATCCTCCAAAATAGCTCCAAGAATGTTCCCAAGTCGCTCTCTCTCTAGGGTTCGTCCCTTGGGTGTTTGGGAATCAAAACCCAGCTCTCTCTCTCCTTTGGCTCGAATTTGGCTTAAAACCCAGAATTTCCCGACTCACACGGCCAGACCACACGGCCGTGTGGCTTACCCAGCTGCCCGTGTGAGTGCCAAAACGCGGAGTTTTGATTAATGGGCAACCAGGCAAGCTACACGGGCAGGGGCCACACGGCCGTGTGGCTCCCCAGGATGCCCGTGTGAGTGCTCGGTAAATCCAACATGGCCACATGTGGCTTGCTCAGCCTCTGTTTAGCTTCGTTTCTCCCTCGTCCGGACTCCGAATCAGTCGCCGTTTGATCCCAGACGCTTGTAGTCTCGTCCTCTTTCTTTTCATGACAAAATTCCATGATTATTTGTCCATAATATGAGGTAGAAGTCCATTATTCCTCAGGTCATGCTCGTGTTTCTTCTCCCGAATTGCCAAATGATCTCTGATTGACTTGAAACTTGCGCCTATGCTTCAATTCACATGCTAGGACCTGAAATGTGACAAAGGAACACAAACTAGCGTAAAATAGTCCAAGAAAGCAGAAAATCAAGCCAAAATGATCAACAAACGAGGATGCAAACATGTGCAAATCCGATGTTATCAAACTCCCCCACACTTAACCGTTTGCTTGTCCCCAAGCAAACCAAGTCAGATACAAGGTAAGCTCACAATTTCAATCATACCAACATTGGGGACAAATCATATAGGCACAAAACATGGGAATCACACAGACTTTCAAACATCAACACATGAACAACTTCAACCGCAACTTGGACAACCACCACAGAGGACATTCGAGTGCAGCAAAATCGAGTAAAGGAGGAGTCTCCCTTCTGTTCATCAATCAACATAGACTTGACTCAACCACTTACTCAAGACAGTCACCTCATGCACAAAACTCAAGATATCAGAATAGAGACCGAGCAATCTAGGTCTTCACCGGGGTACAAGAGTATAGAGAATATGAGAAAATGAATTGCTCACTCTCGACCAGTGGGGTCAGGACAATATGAGAAAATGCGCATGCTTATTCTCTCAATCCCTAACATCTCTTCACCATGACGGCAGCCTCTAAATGCTAGAGTTCACATATGAGGTGTCACCACTAACTAATCCGGAAGTCTTAGACACAGGTTCAGATGACTGGCTAGGGTCTTGGACATGGGGAAAAGGCCTTTTAGGTGGTGGAAGTATTCGTAGCACAAGGTTCCACAATTCCAAACCCAACACAATCACAGTCAATCAAACCACTTACTTTCTTTCTGCCATTCTGCATTACTCAAATTCTTACGAGCACACGAGCGAAGGAGGTTTTATAAATGTCAGCATTTCCAAGCCAGACTGCTAAGAAACACTACTTAATGGGCACTATTCATATTTTTGGTAGTGGCTCTCTTTTGCTTTCATTTTTTTGCTTTCATTCTTTTTCTCATTCCTTAAGAGAACCACCACCTCTGCACATATTTCAAACATATGCCCAACTTTTAAGCACTACCTCCAACCCTCACATTATATTTAGCAGAAACAGCAGAGAACATGTAAAAACCACTCTGTGGAACATTCTAAAAGATGCAAAAGGGTGATTTTTCATTGTAGACTGAAAGAAAGGATAACACACAACTCAAAGGGGCTGACTAGAGGATATGACACATCAAGACAGTCAATTTGGTCGTGGGCTAATCCTATGCCTCCATCATCTTAGCTAATGACAACGTGAATGCTACACATCATGGAATAGGGAACTATCACACAAGAAAGAAACGAGCAGGCTCAAATCTCACATGGCTACCTATATGCTCTATCTCTCATTCTGATTCCCTGAACTAGATGCATAACCGACTGTCAAGAACAAGTGATCAATCCAAGTCACAGTTGGTAAGCAAACAGTTGATAAACCAAACCCCTACACAATTCTACTGCACGTTTCAGTCATCATTATAGGTTGTCCTAGTCACACCTCAGTTGTCATGCATTAAGTCGAAAGCCATTCAATTCACCAATTAAAACCACAGTGCCAATATGATCAAGCAAACAGCACTACTTGGAGCCCTCAAATCTCAAATTTTGACAGTGGACTAGGCTCCAAGCATACAAACAGCCAAACATTCACCCGCATACATAATCAAAACCCCCCCACACACACTTAAACACGACATTGTCCTCAATGGAGGAAAGATAAGGAGGGTAGAACGAAGTTACCAGATCAAGGGTGAATGATGATGGACGGGTCAGGCGGTGCATTCCAGAAAGAGAGAGTAATCAGAACACAAACACCACACAAAATCTCACAAAGGTTGAGTTATTGAATCTAAAATCAAATAACAAAACTGACTCAACCGAGGAGAAATAGAGAAAGAAATGCAAACCGACTGGTTGGGTTGCCTCCCAAAAAGCGCTTCTTTCACGTCGTGAGCCGGACGATGGCTCCTAAGTTTCGGTCCATGCTAGAACCTCCTTGCAGTTGAGGTTCTCGTCAATGAGGTGGAGTCGCAAGTCACGAGCATGTGGTATGACTGGTGATGGAAGCTCGTGCACTTGATGCAGATGAAGTCTCCATCCTCGAGACCTCTTCTTCTTTTCTCTCGTCTCATTGCTCCAAACTAGATATGACAGCATCGAGTGGCCACCATCGCGTCCACCAAGAGGGACTGATGTCGATGTGGCCTTGGTCTGGCAAAGAGACACTTCAAATGGGTCCTTTCTAAGTAGTTCCTCGAAGTTTGGTGGGGATATTACTTCCAACTCATGGCCGGTGCAGGCATCTTCCACCTCAACTTCGTCCTCGACCTGGACGCCAATTTCTTCTTCAACCTCCCTTCCTTGTTCATGTGGTATCACCCCTGGGAAATGATCAAGAACTCCTCCTGCTTCACTTTCGTCATCCTCCGCAACTTCTTTCTGCACCCTTTCTTGCTCTTCTTCTTCTAGCACGGATTGGTGTGCAAGTCGCCATGTGATTTCTTCAATGAGATAATCTTGCATCTCCTCGCTCGGGCCCAGCATGTTAGAGCAGAAATGATAAAAGGTGTGATCTGCAACCAGAGGACTTTCCTGATCATGATTATCATGGGAGTTCTCTGTGATAACTTCTGTATGCTCCTCAACATCCCCGTATCCTTTATCATCCTCCACCTCTTCTAGAGTGGTAGCAGAAAGGTGATCTTGAGCAAGATGTGAACAAACTTGCTCCACCCACTCTGTTTGCTTCGCTGAGCGCTGAACAGTCTCCTCCATTTCATGGAGAAATGAGGGATCGGAAGGGCCAGGGGCTTGGATTTGAAGATCCATCTTGGAGCATGATCTCTCAGTGTCTCGAGCAAACTGCTCCACGAGAAGCCTTAATTGTTTGTTCGGATCTTCCAGTGAAGTGTAGCATGGCTCTGCAGAGTGGCTCGTGAAGGCCGCCATGGGTAACTCCAGCTCCGATGGCCCTTCTGGTTGTGAGAGAAATTCTTCTTGATAATGAGGTTGTTCTTGATATGCCCAGGGGTCTGATTGTTCACCGTAGTAATGGGGTTGGTACTGGAACCCAAATCCATAGTCTTCTCCTCCTTGATTTCTCCAGGGATTTTCGGGGTAATACCACTCGGATGGTGGTGGATACCCCCAATGGTTGGAGAAGCCATGAGGATCCATGATTCAGATCTGCACCAACAAAAACAAAAACATCCAAGTGAAAAGCAAGGGTGGAAAAGAAGAGAAAAACGCTAAAGTAACAAACTTCTGCCTTTCCAAATAATCTAGAAAGTCCCCGGCAACGGCGCCAAAAACTTGACACGCCAGAACACAACACCTAACAATGGCCAAGTGTAACCAATGAAAGGGACTGCACTATAGTGGCACAAGTAATAAATATCGAATCCACGGGTCTCTAGAGTGATTATTACTCAGCTTCAATTTATTATCTAGCAAACTAGATTAAGGATTGATTTACTAAACTACTCTACTAACTACTCTACTAATTACAAGCTGGGAACTCACTTAGGTATGATTCCACCTAGCTCCTCAATTAGGTCCAAGTTGCAATTACCTTTAGTTGATCTACTGTTGATTAAACTGCGGAAGATCCTAAATTAGCTTGGAATCTCTTAATCTGACCAAGCCCTCTTAGACAGAATACCCGACAGGCGACTAGCCTTCACCGGGATAGACTGCTAAGGCGATTCACACAGATCTCCACTACTGGAATGAATTCCAGTACAAAGGAGTGAATTGATTGACTCTCGCACAAACAATTTACCACTATCAATCAAGAAAGCTCTCTTAACCTAATCATATTCTATCTATCATAGGTTAAAGAGAAATCAAGAGAATTTGATCAAGATTCAATTGACTCAATAAATCATGCCTCAATCAATTATACTCAAAACAATATAGCATCCAAAACTTCATACAAGAAAGATCCTAACACATGGAACTAGGGTTCCTCAAAACCTAAGTGAAGGGAAGTTACTCCATAGAGAAGAGAGAGACTGCATAAATCTGATCTAGATCTTCAATCTCCATCTCCAAGCTTGATTCTCGAGCTCCAATGGTCAAGAAATCCTCCAAAATAGCTCCAAGAATGTTCCCAAGTCACTCTCTCTCTCTAGGGTTCGTCCCTTGGGTGTTTGGGAATCAAAACCCAGCTCTCTCTCTCCTTTGGCTCGAATTTGGCTTAAAACCCAGAATTTCCCGACTCACACGGCCAGGCCACACGGCCGTGTGGGGTACCCAGCTGCCCGTGTGAGTGCCAAAACGCGGAGTTTTGATTAATGGGCAACCAGGCAAGCTACACGGGCAGGGGCCACACGGCCGTGTGGCTCCCCAGGATGCCCGTGTGAGTGCTCGGTAAATCCCACACGGCCACATGGCCAAGTCACACGGTCGTGTGGGTTTTTAGGTGTGCCCATGTGGCTTGCTCAGCCTCTGTTCAATGTTTCGTTTCTCCCTCGTCCGGACTCCGAATTAGTCGCCGTTTGATCCCAGACGCTCGTAGCCTCGTCCTCTTTCTTTTCATGACAAATTTCCATGATTATTTGTCCATAATATGAGGTAGAAGTCCATTATTCCTCAGGTCATGCTCGTGTTTCTTCTCCCGAATTGCCAAATGATCTCCGATTGACTTGAAACTTGCGCCTATGCTTCAATTCACATGCTAGGACCTGAGATGTGACAAAGGAACACAACCTAGCATAAATAGTCCAAGAAATCAGAAACTCAAGCCAAAATGATCAAGAAACGAGGGTGCAAACATGTGCAAATCCGATGTTATCAATGATGCTCAAAGACGATGCGGGCCAGGTAATCATTCATGGTCTTGCAACCAAAGATAAAGAACGCACACGTGCCATACTTAGAAGCAAGGTCAACGAAGAGGAACGGGATAAACCGCACTTGGAGCCCTCAAATCGAAAGATTCGAATAGTGGACTAGGCTCCAAGTGGGGGTACAAATGCACATTCAAGACAATTTTCCACATTCAAGCACCATTAAATAAATTCCTGGCCATTGAAGCACCATGCAAAGCAAATTCCACCATTTAAAGCATAATCAATAGGCCAACTAGGTCCAGTGAAGGTAAAAACATCAAGTCAAGCATGCAAAAGCCTTAGGCCTTGATAGTGCTTGCTTGTGCACGATCGAGCTTTAAATTTATAAAGTCGAAGCACACTCTCTCTATTCAATCCTAACTAAGCCAAGTATAACCTAACTAGGGTTTTAGTAAAGTGGCTCGGTCGTATTCCAAGGGATCCCTAAGTTTATTATTACTTCCCTCCAAACTACTATCTAACCAAGTCGGATTGAGTTTTTTGAACAAATTTAACCTACTCTTAAGGTAAAATAAACAAACAACCAGTGGTTGGGAGAACGCTAGAGATAAGACAGTTGCCTAGGGTTAAATCCTCTTAGCTACGGTTTTCAAGTACGGTTAGTCGAATGTGGTGAGTGAGCTATTTTTTATGGGCATTCGTGGTTATCCACACTTCTCCGAGTACGCCTTCCATAAACCCATACATAGTCACCTCGATCTACACTATCGTATATGAGGCACTAAGCTCATGGCTTATTTCAATGGACACTATCCACCATCCACACCGAGATTCTATCCCGGGTTCTATCTAGGAAAGCTACATATAGCAGGGGTTCGACCACCTCGACCTATTAGCCCCCATTAAAACATCTAACCTCGATTTGCTTGATGGTGCATACCCGTCTAACTCTATTACTCCAAACCTAACGTAGAAGCGTAAAGTAGGCTAGTAGAGAAGATTAGGGCGACTTACCCAAACACAATCAAAGCTAGATAACAATAAAAACAACTAGATAAAACACATTCATTCATAAACCCATTCATACACAACCTATAAACTAGGGTTCATCTTCCCTAAACCACCATTAGAGAGGAAGAAAACACAAACTAGAAGATGGGAATGATAGAATCAAGCTTCTTCTCCTTGCTCCTTGGGTTGATTAGATCTTTAATGAAGCTCTCCCAAGGTGTTTCTCTTTCTAAAACACTAACTTTCTCACTCTAAGGTGACTCTCCTTTTTCTCTCCAGAAGCTCCACTATTTATAGGCGCTGGAAATCTTGGGCTATTCACGGCATGAAGACGAATTATTAGGGCCGCGAACTTGTGTGTCGCGGGCGTGATCTTTTTCCTCGGTCTAGATCAACGTTGCTCACGAAGAGAGTGGGGGAACTCTCTATTCTCCCATGGATGACTCCTTTCAGAGTTCGCAGTCGCAGTGCTCCACTTCACGGTCGGGATCTCATGACCTTGGCCCACGATCTTCTGGCAAACTTCGCGGTCCAACTTTGCGGTCGAGAACTTGAGGCATTCAACTGCGGTCTTTGCCTTGTCTGGTACTTCTCCTTGATTCCTGCCCATTGCCTCCCCGTCTTTGCTCGTAATGTCAAATGATCCCAAAACAGTATCATAAACAAAAAGGAATGAAATGGGCATGCAAATGACATTTTTAAAACAATTCAAGATAATTTTAACACAATTTCACCTAACAAATGCAAGGTAAATAACACCATTTCAGTGTTACAAACTCCCCCACACTTAGGCGTTTGTTTGTCCCCAAGCAAACCTACTCAAACCAATGCAACACAATAGATAAATTACTGCGGAATGCATTCTAGTTCTTCTTTGCATAAAGAAGAGTAGACATAGAAGAATGAACACTACTATCATCCTACTGTGCAAGCACAAACTCTCGAGTGAGGACCATACTTACTATCCTAGGCCGAACATTCAAGGTGTGCTCTGGGGGATTCTCAAAAACAAGAAGGCACATGAACTATAAGGGTGCTATTATTATTTCTTACGATTAGGAGTTTTCATTTATTGGTCTCTTTTTTTCTCGTTCAAGCACATTGCACCGAACTTTTGCAACTTTTCTTTGTAAAATAACATCTCTCCCTCATGACCAAGAGCGGATGAATCATAGCCTTCCCTATCAAGGTCACATGTGGGGAAGTTGATGGGCAAATTTTTCTTAGCCTGAGCACCACTTCCCAGCCTGCGCTCTACACTGGGTTGCCACACATGTTGGGTACCAACACAAGCTATGCGGTCTCATGAATAGCTAAAAGGATCTTTGGACCTTGGCATACGATTCAGCGAGGAGGAAAGATGCATGGGGGATGGTAAGTAGTGAAAGATGGTCGGGACGCGGTAAAGCTATTTGATCCCCATGCATATCCTCAAAGGGCACTCCTAATCCGTGAGGATTGGTTGCCTCTCACGTGAGCCTCGTTTTCTAACATTAAGCAAAAAAATTTAAAAGTTTCTAGTTCTAACCTAAAAGAGAATCCCGCACACATGTTCTTCTTAAAATAGCAAATATTATCGACTGACAAAAGAGGAAGAAGATAGTAAAATCTCTCACACGTGTGATCATTCAACTATCACCTAGCGAGCACACCATATCAACCATCTATCAAATCAAAGCAACTTGAGTATGAAGATGAAAGGAACAAGGTATTTGGCACCCTCAAATTTGAAAAAATTTCGGCATAACATTCAAGGTTTCAAAATACGCTCATATTAGCCTTTTGACTACAACAACCTGTCCAATCGATCAATCATACTCTCACAAGCAATTATAAACATCACACATTCATCATTGAGGGAATTGACTAATCGAAATGAAAAAATATGTGAACTCTTTGAAAGCTATGCAATGCATCCCCCCCCCCCCCCCCGGCCACCCCACTTGAGAGGCACATTGTCCTCAATGTGGGAACTCTAGGTTAGGTTCATGAGAAGTTTACCATTTGGGGTGTTGTAGTCGGGGAATAAAGATGGGGCACAAATGTGTAGGTTCTCTGCGATCAAAAGAATGGCCACAAAATCAGACATGGAAAAGTGAATATAGTCATTAAGAGAAAGAGTAGGTGGAAATTCGTTAAACTGAAACAAAAAATCTAAGATAGGTAGAAATGTAAAATTAAACACATCGAAAACTAATATTCGAAACAAAGGAAACAATACTGAAAATAAAAACGTCAATAGTTCAAGCTAGGAAAGGAAAAGATAGGAAATGGCCCTGTAGTGCCATAAATCACCCAACTCCTAGTCCTCGTCCTCATCCGTCTCGACCTCTTCTTCCTCGCTAGCATAATTGAAACGCGGTGAAGAAGGGGTGCACACATAGGTGTGGGCGAATTTAGTGGGGTAGAGACCGTGAAACCGCATCAGCTCGTGGGTGTAGTCAAGCATGTGCATCATCCACTCAACAACTCTCTACTGGTTCCTAAAGATAGTCTTAAGGTCAACAAAGGAGGGCAGATCACCACCAGAAGCTATCTGAGGTCCACAGGACTACCTGACATGGAAGCTGTGACAAGCCGGCCCTGATGAAGATGTGCTCTGTCTCCTCCTACTGGGATGACCCTGGAGAGTATGACTAACCCCCCTGACAACTACCATGTTCGTCTTTGGGAACCCCAGTCCTCGAACACCCCACATACCTTTCTCATTCTGCTCTAGAGTCATCAAGTAGGTCCTCAGATGAGAGAATGGAACTAGAACCGTGTAGGCATCCATATGACTCTCAACTGCGACCAAGTCAACCCAGAAGTACCTGGCGATCTTGGTGACGTAGGCTCTTTCATGCATAGCTAGTAGCCTCTTGTCTGAACCATGGTGAAGAAGAGACTTTAATATAGATCTACCAAGGTAAAGTCGAACGTCGCTCTGCATGCTGTAGATGAAGATGACATCTTTGTCCGTGAGGTTGCCCTGGCTCCCATATTTCCCGCCAATAGAGCGAGAAATGACATGTTGAATGAGCCGAAACTCAGGTAATACCTCACCCCCTTCGACAGCTTCACATCCCAGGGTCGGCAATGGGGAATCTTCATAACATTTTCATAGAAGTCATGAGGTAAGTGGAAGTCCCTCTCCGACCTCAGTGAGATGTAGTAGTCGCGATCGACAATGATTTCCTGCGGGTAGATGTCAAGATAAAAAGTGAACTATCTCATCATCATTTGCCGCACGACTCCTCCCTGACTGAAGTTGATAAGGGGGTTATCCTCAATTGCATCCCCCTTGACAATCCTGGTCCGCAGGGTACATAAGAACTCCAGTGTGAGGACTCTGTAAATCTTCTCGTTGATCTCCAAGACTCTACACCACACAAGGTCTCTAATCCTGGCTTTGATCTGGCCTGCTACTGGCTAACTGGGAAAAGAGCAACTAGTTAAGGCACTCACTCTCCCTTGTAGCCATCCACTAGAACCGCTGACGACGGTTTTTGAAAATGAATGTGATCGCCCTCAGGAATTCATGATCCACATGGGGCATCACCGCCCTCGATGCTCTCCTTTGGGGTTGCTGGGGTGGCTGCTCAACCTCCTCCTCCACTGGAGGCTCGAGATCCGAATGATACTGAGGCTCCTCCTGTCTCGGAGCCGTCTTAACTGGAGCAGCTCGTCGGTCCATTTGGCGATTCCTTCTGAAGTACTGGAGAACGCCCGAGAAGGGGCCCCGCCTCTCTAAAATATTAGAGCCCTCTCCTCCATCATTCCTCCTAAAAATCCAAATTACAATCAATGAAAAGTAGTAAAATAATTTCAAAACACAAATAATTCTTCCCCAACACTGGGTAAGAACAGTGTGCTCAAAGGCAAAAAATGGGGGTCGAAAAAATCAATTTTCGGGCTAAAACATAGAAAAGCAAAACTGTAGAGTCTTAATATAAGTCATAGTGAACTCATCTACGATCTAGAATGAGTAGAAATCGAATCCTAAGTGAGCCTAAAATGTGCACGAACAATGGTTGGTAACATGTTCTCAAACTGCAGAGTTAGGAAAATGATGCTCAAGAACTAGTTACGAAACTGAAATCGAGGAAGCTCAAGCCTAACCAAAGTTTAAACAACATAATTCAATTAAAGAATCAAGCACGTAGTCAAGGAATTTTTAAAAGGGACGTGTGGTTTGGGCAAATTATCGAGCACATAGTGGGCAGAATTTTCAAAATTCAAATCTTTCAATCACAAGCATATGCCCACCAAGGCTTCCGAATCCACACTCCACATCCATAGCAAGCATGCATTGACTCTCATTAACTAAGCAACTCCAGGAACAACCTCATTTCCCAAACAAAATAGATCTAGAACTCGAGTTCTTCCTTTTCTCTAATTCGGCGCCCAAAAGATGAAACACATAAGGGTTGGGTCAAAAATCTTACCTTGAGCTACTTGCACATGCTTAGAAGCTCAAAACCAGAACTAGTTAAAGAAGAAATGAAGAAATTGGAGTTGGGAGATGAAAATTTGAGTTCCCCATCTTCAAAATCGAGTGCTAGGTTAGGAAAATTGAGAGAATTGGGGGGAAAAGGGTTTTGTCCCGAGCAGCTCCCGCGATCATCCTTTTATAGGTACAGACAAGATCGTGGGCTAGGGAAAAATATCTCTACTGCAATCTTTGTGTCACAGGCCGCGGTATTTAGCGAAACTGGGAAGTTCGCAGGCTAATAAGGAGAAGATTGCGGGCGCGAAGAACTACTCGGGGCTTGCGATCTTTGATTTGCCTAGTAAAAAAATCTAAAGCACAATTTGTCTAACTTACCGGTTAGGGCTTGAGGGAAGGGTACGACGACTAAAGGCAAGGGAAAAGGTAATCATTCCTAGCATTGGTATACTGATTAGAAAGGAAATAAAACAAATTAATAAGTATCTAAATAACTACTTTAAATATCCAATCTAAACACAAGAGTTGCAAAAAGAGGAAAGTATGCAAACCGAATGGTGCCTCTTAACTAACGTGTCTTTTAGGTCATTTCACCGGACCATTGTCTTCAAGTGCTCAGTCCAGCTCAAGACCTCCATGAAGTTGAGGTTTTCATCGGTCAAATGGAGTCTCAAGTCTTGATCGGTCTCTCAATCATTCGGCGAAGGCTCATATAAATGCAGTTGCTTGAGGCACCTCAATTGAAACCTCTCTTCGAATTTTCTACGCTTCTCTTTGCCTCAAACCAAATCAAGCATTCTTGAAGGATCATCACCGGATCCACCAAGAGGGATTGATGATACCTTGGCCTCGTCTTGGCAAATATAACTCGCAAAAGGGTCATTCTCTAAAAGTGTATCAAGGTTGGGTGGAAAGCTTGAGGAGCCCGTGTGATTCATAGAAGCTTCATCCACTTCGACCTTGTCCATTGGTTGGAATCCAATTGCGTCTTGAACCTCCTCTCCTTCTTGTGAAGATTCTTCTCCATGTTAACTACCAAGCTCTTCCTCTTTTTCACTTTATTCTTCCTTCCTCACAAACTCATCAATGCTCCCTTCTTTAGTTTCTTCTTCTTGATGATTAGGAGAAATGATGGTTTTACAAGCAAGTTCTTCAATAAATGGATCTTTGTTGTCCTTTTGCTCGTCCACCGTGGAGACCTCGTCCTCTTCTTCCACCTCCTCTTCATCTTCATCATTAGCATTGCGGAGGCGCAATTGAGCGAGTCTCGAACGAATTTCTATAAGATCTCTAATCTTTGCTTCCAACCTCTAGTCAATTCTCGTTGCTCATTGAAGAAGTTTTGAAAAGCGGGACTGGGCCTTTCAATGACGGAATATGTCCCTATAATCTCCACCTTTTCTTCTCCTCTTTGACGGGTAAGGGTCGATTGTGAGCAAGTTGTGCACATACTTGCCCAACAACCTCTCCCAGTCTCTCCATTTTTCGGAGGATCTCCTCCGATGTCATTAAGAGGTATGAGTCAATAGGTGTGGTGGTTGAGGATTCCACATTGGAACTCACTTTGGTATCCCGGACAAATCACTCCACCAAAAGCTCCAATTGGCTTTTTGGCTCCAATTGTGGAAGGAATTCTTCTTGATATGATGGCGAGGATTGATAATCAGGAAAGTACTCTTGATGGTCATATAGAAAAGAGTTGGTTCTTCACACTCGGATCCTTGGCTGGAACCACTACTAGAAGCTTCAAGATAACACCAATTCGGCGGTTGGTGATCTCCCCACTCCTCGTTCCACCAATTTGGATACGTAGCTACACCTAAACACTATGTATATTTACAAAAATAAATACAACCTATGAAAGCACAAGTGTAAAAAGAAATAGAAACAAAAAAGTGAACAAACACTTAGCACAAGATAACTAAACATAACATAACAAAAGTAAGAAAAATACGAAAAGGAAAATATGACATCGCAAGGACAAAATACAAGAAAATTGCACAAAAAATTTGATGCTAACCAAACACAAAACACGACAAGACAATGCCAAACATGGCACACAACAAATGATTAAATAGTAGTTCTCAGCATTTCTTAGTAACTTAAGACTCCCCGACCAAGGCGCCAAAAACTTACTCGTGCGCGATCGAGCTTTAAATTTATAAAGTAGAAGCACACTCTCTATTCAATCCTAACTAAGCCAAGTATAACCTAGATAGGGTTGTAGTAAAGTGGCTTGGTCGTATTCCAAGGGATCCCTAAATTTATTGTTATTTCGCTCCAAACTACTATCTAATCGAGTCATAAGTTTGGTGAGGGGTTTGAACTAATTTAACCTACTCATAAATCAAAATAAACAACCAAACCAGTGGTTGGGAGAACGCTAGAGATGATAGGTTTCCTAGGGTGGAATCCTCCTAGCTACGGTTGTCAAGTAGGGTTAGTCAAATGTGGTGAGTTAGTTCTTTTCTGTGGGCTTTCGTGGTTATCCAAACGCCTATGAGTATGCCTCCCCTAAACGCATATATAATCACCGCGATCTTGGCTATCGTATCTGGGGCACCAAGCTCATGGCTCATTTTAATGGACACTATCCACCGTCCACACCAAGGATTTATCCTGGGTTCTACCTAGGAAGGCTACCTATAGTAGGGGTTCGGTCGCCTCGACCACTATAGGCCCCCATTCATACATCTAACCTCGATTTGCTTGATGGCGCATACCCGTCTAACTCTAAAACTCCAAACCCAGCGTGGAAGCATAAAGTAGGCTAGTAGACAAGATTAGGACGACTTACCTAAACACAATCAAAGCTAGAATAACAATAAAGTCAACTAGATAAACACATTCATTCATAAACCCATTCATCTTCCCTAAACAACCATTAGAGAATCGAGTCATTAGAGAGGAAGCAAACACAAACTAGAAGAGAGGAATGATAGAATCAAGCTTCTTCTACTTGCTTGCACCTTCTCCTTGCTCCTTGGGTTGATTGGATCTTCAATGAAGCTCTCCCAAGGTGTTTCTCTCTCTAAAACACTAAAAAATCCTAACTTTCTCACTTTAAGGCGACTCTCCTTTTTCTCTCCCGAAGCACCACATTTATAGGCGCTGAAAATTTCAGGCTAGTTTGCGGCCTGAAGATGGATGATCGCGTCCGCGAACTTATGTGTCGCGGGCGTGATCTTTTACCTCAATCTGGATCAATGTTGCCAGCGAAGAGATTGGGGAAACTCTCTGTTCTCCCTACGACGACTCCTTCTAGAGTTTTTGGTTGGAGTGCTCCACTTTGCGACCAGGGTCTCATGACCTTGGCCGGTGATATTTTGGCAGACTTTGCGGTCGGGAACTTGAGCTCTTCAGTTGCGATCTTTGCCTTGTCTGGTTCTTCTCCTTGTTTCTACATATTATTGCCTATGTCCTCCCCATCCTTGCTCATAATGTCAAATGCCTCCAAAAAACAGTATCATAAATGAAAAGGAACGAATACCCGGCAGGTGACTAGCCTTCACAGGGATAGAATGCTAAGGCGATTCACACAGATCTCCTCTACTTAGAAAGAATTCTAGTACAAAGCAGTGAATTGACTGATTCTCGTACAATCAATTCACTACTATAAATTGACGAAGCTCTATCAACTTAATTAGATTCTATCTATCATAGGTTAAAGCAGAAGTCAAGAGAACTTGATCAGAATTCAAAAGACTCAATAAACATGCCTCAATCGATTAAAATCAACCAGTATGACATCCAAAAGCCATTACAAACAATATCCGTAAAACATGGAACTAGTGTTCTTCATACCCAAGTGAGAGAGAGGTTTACTCCATTGAGAGAGAGAGAGAGGAAAATCAAACCAGTCATACTCATAATGATGTGTATAATCATGCTTCTTCTTATGATAGTGCTTTGACCTGATCACGCGTTTTACTTAAGTTAAGATGGGGAAATCCAAGGTCGCATTTGGGTAGAAGACTAGCGGTATTTTGAGAAGCACCTGCGGTGCTTGGGTCTTCGCCTGGCCGTACTTTACTTTCCTTCAGCATTCTTCAAGAGCTAGCCTCGTCATTAAAAATATGGTCGAGTCGTTGGTGCAAAACGGTCGTGGTTTAGGAAATCATGCCCCTGTTTTGCACCTGGATCATCACCACGCTCAACAAAATTAACACCATCGGCTATCATGTGAAGCACGATTGTGCTTGAGGCAGGGGACGATAGTGTTCTCTAGAACTGCCAAATGATCTCCA